AATAAAATCGAAACTCACACAGGTTAACTTATTTTACAAGGTTGAGAAACTAAACAAATCTCCAAACCACATCTTTTCTAAATAAAAACTTAGAAGGTAGGCTGGCCAGGTGCTGGTGGTTCACGCGTGTAATCCTAGCTACTCATGAGGCTGAGATCTGAGGATCATGGTTCAAAGCCAGCCTGGGCAGGAAAGTCCATGAGACTTTTATCTCCAACAAATGACCAGAAAACTGGAAGTGGCACTGTGGCTCAAGTGATAGAGCGCTCTCCTTGAGCTGAAGAGCCGAGGGACAGCGCCCAGGCCCTGAGTTCAAGTTCCAGGACTGGAAAAAAGAAAAGAAAAGAAAGTAAACTGGCTCTATTTCTGTACTAATTACATAGTATCTTTAAATTAAAATAGAAAAGGAAAAGTATATTCTTAAAATACCTATATAAAATGAACTATCTGGCTCAACTGAGATTTTCACTTTTTTAGTAAATATCTTATGGACACTAATTGCCCTCTGAAAATCTTAAAAAACAAAACAAAACAAAAAACACACAAAGATCCAACGTCTTAACACCCATATTCTGAAAGAGCCATGAAGAGCTTTGTAGTAGTTGGGCATGGTAGCTCAAACCTGTAATCACAACTTTGGATGCTGATATGGGTAGAGTCATAGTTGGAGGCCAGAGTGGACAAAAGGTTAGTAAGAACTGATCTTACTAATAAAAGCTGGCATTAAATCTAAAACAGGAAACATAAATAAGAGGATCACCCCCAAGCAAAAAGTGAGATTCTATCTCAAAAATATCGAGAGCTAAAGAGATGAGGTGTGGTTCAAGCAGTAGAGAACCCTGTTTAGTAAGCATGAAACCTTGAATTCAAACTTCAGTATTGTTAAACAAATGCCTCTCATTACTTCTCCTGTGGGTGTAGGCTGTATATAACACTTGAAATCTTATCAAAGCAGAAGTTCTATGGGCTTTTTTGTTCAGTTCTATGCTGCAGCCTGTCAGAAAGACTCTTTTCCCCCAGTCTACATGGTCTCTCCTAAGAAAACTAGAAGTCAGCTCCTCATCAAGATGGCACTTCCCGTGCTGGAGCTTACCACCAAAATCAAATGCTTGAACTATTTAATATAGCACTCATCTACTGTGAACTTACTTATTCACTCACTATTTCTTTTGTTTTTATTTTATTTTTATTGAAAAGGTGATGAGCAGAGGGGTTACAATTACATAAGTAAGGTAATAAATCCATTTGTTTTTAATCACTGTTACCTCATCCCTCATTCTTCCCTATTCCCATCCCCCCCCCCCAAGTTGTAATTCATCAGCTAATACTTGCTAGCTGGTTTCTATATACTAAATTGTGAAGACAATTGTGAAGACAATTTGCAACAAGCAAAACAATCAACAACAACAACAAAAACCTACCACAACAAAAATCCACCCCAGAAAGTCCTTATTCTTATAGAATGAAATAAAGGATACATATATAGTTTAAATGATCATACAAATAAAAACAAAAATAATTGAAAACGCAGCTGAGGAAAGCAAGTCTTTGGGATTAATGAAAGGCTTCCTCATAGAAGTCATATTGAACTGATACATGAGTATAAATCAGCATTCATCTGGTGAAGAAGGAACACGTTTTAGGGAAAGGGAAAAGCATATTCAAAGATTCTTTGGCAGAAAGGAACATGGTATGTCAAGGAAATGTTAAAAACAAAATGTGGAAAACAGGGTTTCGGGATAGTGGGTGTGAGAGGATTTTGGAGAAGCAGGCAAGGCCACATTTACATAGATTATATAGGGCACTCCTAGCTTATTTTTTGCATACAAATTAAAATAAAGAGGATTAACTGTTGGCATAACAAAGTTATCAAAATGGATTTGGGTTTGAGAAAATTCTGGGTGTGATTTGAAGAATATTGGAAATAGAAGTCAATATATAAATATGAAAAAGGCCAACAAGTCATTTCAATAGTTTTAAGAGAGATAATAGTGGTTTGGATTAGGTGAATGTGAAATATTATGGGCATCAGATATTAAGAAATAGTAGAACAGAGGGTGAACTAAGTCAGCAATGATACTAGACACTATGTTGGAAATGAACTATACAACTTGTGGGGGAAGGGAGGGGAAAAACTGGGAGAAAACGAGGGAGGGGATGACACTGTTCAAAAAGAAGTGTACTTAATACCTGACTTATGTAACTGTAACCCTTTACAATGAAAATTTTAATAAAATAAACAAGACTTAGTAACAGACAATATATATATAGGAGAAAGGGAGAAAAAGGAAGCATCTAGGCTCTAACATACAACTGGATGGATATACTGAGAGGGTATTGATGACTCTTAAGAGAGGGATTGACTTAAGAGAGGGATTGATGACTCAAGATATTCAGTATTTCAAGGACAATTTAGAGCAGATGAGCCACAAAGGAGATAGAAGCAGCCAACGGGAAAGGAAAAAAAAAAATGTGAGAGCATCTCCCAGTAGAATATTTCAAGGTGGAGGAAATACATGATGGTAGTATATGCTGTGGTCGACTAGGTAATTTCAGTTCTGTTCTTCAGCAATATGTAAGACTTTGAGGAAAGGGATTTTATCTCAAACCTCATGCCTTCCTTTTTCCATGAAGAACCAGCACAAAACTTTCTATAGAAAAAGTTTATAAAACACATTTATTCCAGGAATTATATTATATTATATTGACCAAGACAAGGAATTAAAAAAAACCTTCATGGCATACCATTATAATGAAGCCAAAGGTAGCTTAATATGTTTAAGGAGAAAATGGATATATAAATCTAAACCAGGCTTACCTTATATAAAAACACAATGAGAAACAAAAACTTAATAGAAATATTTAAAGTTGAGGATGGACTGGCCTTGAATCAAAATGTTGTTCTTATAAACAAAAATGAACAGTGTAAAATGAATGCACTGTTTACTCAAACTGGTTAGGTTACTTGGCTGCCTAGCACAATTATTGTCTACTTAGCATAGGAAGACATGAAAAACCTTGGAAATATTTAAAGAACTACAAGAAGATGAAAATTTGTAAAACACTTACCTTTTTTTTCCTGGTCTTGGGGCATGAACTCGGGGCCTGAGCTCTGTCCCTGAGCATCTCTCTGCTCCAGGCTAGTGCTCTGCCACTTGAGCCATAGCACCACTTCCAGCTTTTTCTATATATGTGGTACTGAGTTTCATGCATACTAGAGTTTCATGCATATTAGTCAAGCACTGTCCCACTAAGCCACATTCCCAGCCCCAAATTATAAAATACTAAGAAGAATTATAATGAAAAATACTCTAAATTACAATGATAGTATTCCTTCCTGAACATTTATATAAAAGCATAGTGTGGTGTCAAACTGTTAATGTTGAGTTTGATATAGTCTCCAAATGCCTTAGTTTAATTTTGTTTGAAACCGATTACTCTTTCTAAATCAACTCATATTATTAGCGTATACCACTGCCCACTGCTAAGGACATTGAATACAGTATATTTTACTTCCTACTTAAAAAAATTGTTTTTCATAAGACAAGCTCTTCTTATCCATATTCCCAGGGTTCTTGGAGAGCATGAAAATATTCTAGTTTTGTTTGTTGAAATACTTCCAAGGTTTCTCCAATAAGTTTAAAGACAAATTTACATTGCATGTAGCTATTTATATATTTTTAACTCATTTTAAGTCTGAATTGGATGTCCTTCTCTTTGCTCTCTTTTTTATTTCTCATGTACATTTAATTATGTTTATCTAATATTGCTGAAAGCTGACTCAAATCTTTTCTGAAAAACAAAAAGGAATCCACAGAGGAATATATATTGTTAAGCTCTTCCATCATATTAACTATCTCAGTCATCTCTTCTCTCAGCTCTCGGCCTCCTTTTTTTTTTTTTTGGTCAGTCATGGAGAAGGTGACTTTAAGGACTTCAGAGAAAGAATCAATTAAGCATGATGATAAACTGGGAAAAGCAAAGAAAAACTCAAATGTCTCTATCTTGGAAGCCTTTATGAACACTGACACTCCTGGTAGGTAAGGCTGAATGGAGGAAAAAGCCATGGAAGCCATTAACTTGACTTTTATATTAGTATAGTAGATCAAAAAAGGAATACAGAAAACTGAACAAATAATGCTAGAGGAAAGGTAAGCACCAAACTGGAAATACTGAAATGAAAATAATCTGTAAAGATAATATAGGTTAGTTAAAGCATTGCTTGGAATTTATTTTTATTTTAATAAAATTAAATTGTACTTTTTGTAAAAAATTTGGAAAATTCAGATGAAGGCCTCAACCCAGAGATACCATCTATTTCTGGGTGGAAATCTTGCTCTTCAAGAGCAAGAAATAGTCATCTTTGATGCTGAAATCGCTGACAACATATTTCCAAGATGAACCAAGAATGCTTTGAGATTAACAATATCTCCTTTAGCTATTCATGATATTTTTCTTCTCAGATACCAGAGAAAAAGGCATTTCCTAGTGAAGTATTCCACACAAGAATCAAATTGCCACTCTTCATAATGCCACAAAATGTCATCAGATTGTTCTGGAAGTATATTTCACTTTCTGTGATCTTTATTTTGTTTTCAAATGCTGTTAATTAAATAATAAAAATGAACTGTTCAAAGTTATAAAAGTTATCTTTCTCTTAAATTCTATCTAAGGCTTTTGAGTTACATCAAATGGATTATCAACTGTTGATATCCATGTGTGATAATTAGCTGGGGAATTATCAAATCCTGTCATAGATCAAGAAGGAAGGACTTTTAAATGGCTAGGCAATTAACTAAAATGGAATCAACTTCCAAAATTTCACTGTTTTGACTGACATCACTAAAGCTATGAGTTACATATGACTATGAGAGCTGCAACTTGAATTCTTGAGCTTAGAGAAAGAGCATAGTTCTTTAATTAACTAACTTATTGTAAAAAGTTGTAATTTCCCTTTGTAAAAAATGAATTTATATCAAGAACTGTGGCAGAGTTCTTACCTGAGTAGAGAAGGGTAGAAATGTGATATGCAGGAAAGCCAATGTAATGGTTGGTTGAAAAAGGTTTGCAAGGAGCCTGAAGCTGACTCATCCATACCATGCTGAAAGGCTCTAGGAAAACATACAAAAGACTTCAGAATATGAGGGAAGCATTGATTATGAAATATTTTTATTAGAATTCACTAAATATTTTTTTTTTAAATTTTATTTTATTTTATTTGAGAACATACTGTACAGAGGGGTTACAATTACATGGGCAGGATAATGCATACATTTCTTACCAAGCATTGCAGCCTCCTCCTTTGTTTACCCTTCACCTCCCTTCCCGGCCTCCCCCCTCCCTCCCAACCAATCGTACCCCCCCTCCCCCCCCCCCTCCCGACATTGTAAAGCTGGTTTTGACATGACATTTTGTACTTCTCATTGTTGCAACAGGTCCACCTGAATCCTTAAACGACTTGTTTGTCCCCATCTCCTCCACATGTTATACTGACATCAAATATAGTGAAAGCGGGGGTTACACTGTGGGGGAGGGACATACAAAGCAACAAGGAAATAATCTTATAAATGCGTTAGAAACACATGCATGAAAGAAACAAAAACATTAAAATACATATTTGAGGTTTTGTTTTCCTAACATCACATTATCTGACTTTTTCCGCTTGACTCATACCTATACTAGATATTGCAAATAAGGGAAACCATGGGACCTATGTTTCTTTGGGCCTGGCTTACTTCACTTAATATAATTTTTTCCAAGCCTTTCCATTTCCTAACAAATGGGGAAATGTCATTCTTTCTGATGGAGGCATAGAATTCCATTGTGTATATATACCACATCTTCTTGATCCATTCATCTACTGAGGGGCATCTGGGTTGGTTCCATGTCTTAGCTATGGTAAATAATGCTGCAATAAACATAGTTGTGCTGGTAGCTTTAGTGTGGCCTTGTTTGTGATCATTTGGGTAAATGCCCAAAAGTGGGATTGCTGGGTCGTTGGGGAGCTCTATGTGGAGTCTTTTGAGGAACCTCCATACTGCTTTCCAAAGTGGTTGAACAAGTTTACATTCCCACCAACAATGAAGTAAGGTTCCTTTCTGTCCACATCCCCTCCAGCATCTGTTGTTGTTAGAGTTCTTGATTTTTGCTGTTCTAACTGGAGTGAGGTGATATCTCAATGTTGTTTTGATTTGCATTTCTTTTATGGCTAGGGATGTTGAACATTTCTTCATGTGTCTATTGGCCATCCTTCTTTCTTCTTCAGAGAAGCTTCTCTTTAAGTCTTTCGCCCACTTACTTATTGGGCAGTTGTTTCTTTGAGGATTTGTTGTTGGGTGGTTTAATTTTTTGAGTTCCAAGTATATTTTAGATATGAGACCCTTGTCCGTTGTATGGCTAGTAAAGATTTTCTCCCAGTCCGTGGGCTTTCTATTGATCTTGCTAGCTATGTCATTTGCCCTGCAGAAGCTCTGCAACCTTATACAATCCCATTTGTCCAGCCTTTCTTTGATTTGTTGTGTTTCCGGGTCTCTATTCAGAAAATTTCGGCCTGAGCCAAGGAGACCTAGGGTTTCTCCTATTCCATCCTGTAATGTTTTCAGAGTGTCTGCTTTGAGTTCAAGGTCTTTGATCCATTTGGAGTTGATTCTGGTGCAGGGTGATATATAAGGATCTAGCTTTAGTTTTCTACATGTAGTTAACCAGTTTTGCCAGCACCATTTACTGAAGAGGCTGTCTGTCTTCCATTCTATTGTTTTAGCTCCCTTATCGAAGATTAGATGGCTATAGGTCTGTAGGTTCATTTCTGGGTTTTCAATTCTATTCCATTGGTCCTGAGGTCTGTTCTTATGCCAATACCAAGCTGTTTTGATTACTATGGCTTTATAGTAGAGTTTGAAATTTGGTATTGATATTCCTCCAGCAGTGTTCTTTCCGTTGAGGAGCGTTTTTGCTATTCGGGGTCTTTTATTGTTCCATATGAATTTTTGGATTGCCTCTTCTATTTCCTTGAAGAATGAGGTTGGAATTTTGATAGGTATTGCGTTGAATTTGTAGATAGCCTTGGGAAGTATTGGATTTTCACGATGTTAATCTTTCCAATCCAGGAGCATGGGAGGTTTTGCCATTTTTTAAGTTCTATGTTGATTTCCTTTTTCAAGATTTTAAAGTTTTCATCATAGAGGTCCTTCACTTCTTTAGTTAAGTTAATTCCTAGGTATTTTATTTTTTGTGGGGCTATTACAAATGGAGTTGCTTTCCTGATTTCAGCCACACTTTTCTCATTGTTGGCATACAGAAAAGCCATTGATTTTTGGGGGTTAATTTTATAACCTGCTACTTTGCCGAAGTTTTGAATCAGCTTGAGTAATTTGGGAGTGGAGTCTATGGGATTCTTTAAATACAAGATCATGTCATCTGCAAAGAGGGAGAGTTTTATTTCTTCTTTCCCTATTTGGATCCCCTTTATGTCTGCATCTTGTCTTATTGCTGTAGCTAGGCATTCTAATACTAGATTGAAGAGAAGTGGAGAGAGTGGGCATCCTTGTCTTGTTCCTGAGTTAAGAGGAAATGGCTTTAGTTTTTCACCATTGAGTATAATGCTGGCTGTAGGTTTGTCATATACAGCCTTTATTGTATTGAGGAATGTTCCATGGATTCCTAATTTTTCCAAAACCTTCATCATAAAGGGGTGTTGGATCTTGTCGAATGCTTTTTCTGCGTCTATTGAGATAACCATGTGGTTCTTATTCTTGCTCCTGTTGATGTGATGAATAATATTAATTGATTTGCGTATATTGAACCAGCTTTGCATCCCTGAAATGAATCCTGTTTGATCGTGGTGTATGATTTTTTGGATGAATTGTTGAAGTCGATTGGCCAAAATTTTGTTGAGAAGTTTCGCATCAATGTTCATCAAAGAAATGGGTCTATAGTTCTCTTTCTTTGATGAGTCCCTGCCTGGTTTTGGGATGAGGGTTATGATGGCTTCATAGAATGTGTTCGGTAGTGAGCTTTCTCTTTCAATTTCATTGAACAGTTGGAGGAGAATTGGTGTGAGCTCTGCTTTGAAGGCCTTGTAAAATTCCGCTGTAAAACCATCTGGTCCTGGACTTTTCTTAGCTGGGAGGTCTCTTATTGCTGTTTCTATTTCAATGCTTGATATGGGCCTGGTAAGATAGTTTACCTCATCTTGGTTTAGTTTTGGCATGTCAATATTTGCTAGGAAGAGGTCCATTTCTGTCAAGTTCTCAAACTTATTAGCATAAAGTTTTGAGAAGTATTCCCTTATAATGTTCTGAATCTTGCTTGTTTCCGTGGTGATGTTTCCATTCTCATCTCTGAGTTTATTAATTTGGGTGTGTTCTCTTCTTTTTCTGATAAGATTTGCTAAGGGTCTGTCAATTTTGTTAAGTTTTTAGAAGAACCAACTCTTTGTTTTGTTGATTCTTTCTATAGTTTTTTTGGATTCTAATTCATTTAATTCTGATTTAATTTTGATTATTTCTTTCCGTCTACTGGATTGGGGTTTATCTTGCTGCTCTTTTTCAAGGAGGTTTAGATGTGTCATTAAATTGTTAGTTTCAGATCTCTCCAATTTGTTGATGTAGGAGCTCAGAGCTATAAACTTGCCTCTGAGTACTGCCTTTGCTGTGTCCCAGAGGAGCTGGTATTTTGTGTGTTCATTTTTGTTGAATAGCATGAACATTTGAATTTCCTTTCTAATCTCTTCCATGACCCACTCATGATTCAGCAGTGTGTTGTTCAGCCTCCATGTGATACCGGACTTTCTTTGGTGGCTTTTGATGTTGAGTTCTAACTTTATTCCCTTGTGGTCAGAGAGAATGCAAGGTATAACTTCAATGTTTCTGAATTTAGACAAGTTTGCTTTGTGGCCTAAAATGTGGTCTATTTTAGAAAACGTTCCATGTGCTGCTGAGAAAAACGTGTATTCTGATGCTGCTGGGTGAAATGTTCGGTAAATGTCTGTTAAGTCTAGTTGATCTATACAGCTGTTTAGATATGCGGTTTCTCTGTTGAGTTTTTGCCGAGTTGATCTATCTAGTGGGGAGAGTGGTGTGTTAAAATCCCCAACGATTAATGTCTTTGGATCTATATGGGATTTGAGGGAAAGTAGTGTTTCTTTGATAAATTTGGGTGCTCCATTGTTTGGCGAATAGATATTTAGAATTGTAATATCCTCCTGAAGGAGAGATCCTTTAATTAGTATGTAGCGACCTTCTTTGTCTCTTTTCATGAATTTTAATTTGAAGTCTATTTTATCTGATATTAGGATTGCAACTCCCGCCTGTTTATGCGGTCCGTTTGCTTGGTAGATTTTTGTTCCAGCCTTTAACATTGAAAATGTGTTTGTTTTTATGGGCAAGATGTGACTCCTGCAGGCAGCAGATAGAAGGGTCTTGTTTTTTAATCCAACTAGACAGTCTATGTCGCTTGATTGGAGAGTTCAGTCCGTTAACATTAAGAGATAGGACTGAGAGGTATTTGGGAGTTCCTGCCATGTTATCTACCTTCTTGGGGGCTGCGAAAACTGGGTTCTTCCTATGGTTCTTGGATTCTCAGTTTGGGTGCAGTTTCTTGGCCTTTATTGCGGTCTTGTTGGTTTTCTATGTGTAGGACATCTTTAAGAATCTTTTGTAGGGCTGGTTTGGTGGAGATGTATTGTTTCAATTTTTCTTTGCTATGGAAGGTTTTTATTTGGCCTTCAGTTATGAAGGAGAGTTTAGCTGGGTACAGTATTCTTGGTTGATAGTTGTTTGTTTTTAGGGCATGGCATACATCATTCCAGGCTCTTCTTGCTTTGATTGTCTCTGCTGAGAAATCTGAGGTGATTCTAATTGGTTTCCCTTTATAAGTGATTACCCTTTTCTCCCTGACAGCTTTAAGGATCTTTTCCTTGTTCTGAGTTGATCCTGTGTGGATTATAATGTGACGGTGGGATGTCCTATTCTGGTCTGGTCTATTTGGGGTTCTAAGGCTTCTTGTATCTGGACAGGCCTATCTTTTTGCATGTTTGGGAAGTTCTCTACTAGGATCCTGTTAAACAGATTTCCTAGACCATTAACTTCTGTTTCTAGGTTTTCCTCTACAC